AAGTTCATTGAAGGTGCAATGCTGTTGAGGGATGGTTACTAATTCATTTAAGAATTCTTATTCAATGGCTGGTATGTGAGCACTGTGAACAAGCTATAAAGTGATTATCTTTTTGTTGCAATTTGGATAGTTTAAACCAATAGTGGGATACATGTTGAGAAGTTATAAGTAATAAATGGACCAAAGGCAGTCCTTCATGGTTCACAATTCTTTATATTAAAACAAAAATCAGCCCACCTTTGGTGGAGGTCACAGGTGAGGTAAAAAAAAGATTTCTGTAAAATATTTGCATACCAGGTGATCTTTTTTTATTTTTATGTCCTGTTTAATTGTTGTGTTTTACAAGATGTTTTTAGAAGAATATTTGAGTGAAGATTTTGCATTTTTTGGTCAATTCATGTGCACTTTTTAATCAGTACTAAAAAAAGCATTGGCTAAAAGATAATTACAAGTTCAAGAATGTTTGGAAATCAGAGTTTAAGCTGATGCAGGTGTGTTAAAAATGTTCCCTAAGTTGATGCAGGTGTGTAGCAATGGCCCTAAGGTTGATGCAAGTGTGTAGCAAGGGTCCATAAGTTGATGCAGGTGTGTAGCAATGGTCCCTAAGCTGTTGTTGGTGTATAGCAATGGTGCAGAGTTTGCAGTGTTTGATTCATGCAAAGTCAATTTTAGGATACCCAGTATGACTGAGCAGTGATAACCATCAGACATATGCAGACACATTACAAAGGTGAAATTTAGTTCAGAAAACTACTAACAACCAGTTCTTTGTGTGGAACTTAATAATCACAATGAATTGCATTAGCTGACACTTGAAAGTAAAAAAGAATCTGAAGGAAACTAAAAATACATAGATTTGATTAAACCAAATTCTTTGCAATGAATTCTGATACAGCATACATCATAACAGCTCCTCCTTGTTCATTTAATTGACAATACACTATTAAATATTTATGTTTATATTGCCAACAGAATCTGAATCATATTCAGAACTTACTTTTTTGTTTTCATATGAAGAGAGTACATGCTACAGCACACAATGCATATTATGTTTTTAGTCACCAGGAAATGACTAAAGTTAACATTGATATTAGTCCTGCTCATAATAATTCAGGAGCCAGTCTACAGATCAAAACTTTGAAATCTACTGTTCTGAAATCTTGATTCTAGCACATATTATAACACCACATTATAAGCATTTTTGTAACACCATTCATGTTGCAAATGATATATAAATCCATTCATTACAGTATATACTTGCATATAAGCCAATTATTTTATGGAGAGAAAAAAGGGGTGGTGGTGGCAAATCCAGAGCACAGGGTCTAAACTTTAAAATTGTATTTTTAATGATTACCATAATTGCTGTAAATTTTGGGACACAACAATGATTCTTTTTTTTCGTGTCCTAAGACTTGTATGCTGCAAAATATATCATATTTTCAGTGTCACAACACTTGTAGACATGAAAATTATAAAGACAACATTGGCAAGATTGACAGATCACAAAGCAGTGATAAGCTCTTTTAATAATATAAAAAAACTGTTATAAACTACTATGATTCTTTTCGCTATTTTACATGTGCATATTTTCTGATTTCCCCAATAGGAAATTAAATAAAGGTAAATAAATATGTAATAATTCATGGGCTGGTTTGAGTTTACCCAGAGACAAGGCTGTACTATAATATACAGTACTTACAAAGTACACGGCATGCTTAGCGTCACTTAAAATCCTTGTCTATTGCCAAAAATATTTGATGCAGATTTTGTTTTATTCATTGTTTCTTTGAATCTCTGGAGTTACTCTTTTTTTCTGTAATATAAACAATCCTACAAATTAAGGTAATTTGTTTGAAAAGGTATGCACATTTAATTGTACAAAGTACACAACCAGCATATATTTACATAGCTGTGAAATGTTTCATGACAGGATGATTATAATAAAGGCCAAAATTCTGAATATAAATCAGTTGAGTTCATCTTAGATCTATTTTAGTTTTGTGTTTTGGCTGAACAAAATCATAATTTTCTACAGATTGGAAAGCTGGTCGTTTTGGTATCTCCTTTGTGTATAATTGGTGGCCAGTTAATTGTTAAAACCCTAAAACATGCCTTGGTTGAGATTGAATTTTGTCTGGTAGCTGTACCAGTACTTCCATGTGTATTTGTCTTTTACTCCATAATATTAGCATGATTACCATAGATCTGTAAAAGGGGTTCATAGTCGCCAACATCAAAGCAAACTACAACTCAGTTTTTATGATATTACAATAATTTTTGAAGCATTGTTTTTGAAACTTCGTTATTGTAGTATGGAGATATTAAAGTTCACTACAGTGGTGCCTATGATTTGAATCTAAGGGAAGTTCAAACCTTCAATTCTCATAGCAGTGGTGCCATTATGTAAACATGTTCTCTGGCCTATATTAATAAATTTTAAGGTAAAGTCACTATAAGACACTGTATATTCCATGGCTTCCATGTTATGTGTATTCATCTTTATTAAAAGATGAATACACTATAAGACACTGTATACTCAATGGTGTCCATGTTATATGTATAGTGTAATTCAATATAAGATGAATACACTATAAGACACTGTATACCTGATGGCTTCCATGTTATTTGTATAGTGTACTTCATTATAAGATGAATACACTATAAGACACTGTATACTTCGATGGCTTCCATGTTATGTGTATAGTGTACTTCATTAAAAGATGAATACACTATAAGACACTGTATACTCGATGGCTTTCATGTTATATGTATAGTGTACTTCATTATAAGATGAATACACTATAAGACACTGTATACTCCATGGCTTCCATGTTATATGCATAGTGTAATTCAGTATAAGATGAATACACTATAAAACACTATACTCAATGGCTTTCATTTTATATGTATAGTGTACTTCATTATAAGATGAATACACTATAAGACACTATACTTCATGGCTTCCATGTTATATGTATAGTGTACTTCATTATAAGATCAATCACTATAAGACACTATATACTCAATGGCTTACATGTTATTTGCATAGTGTACTTCATTATAAGATGAATACACTATAAGACACTGTATACTCCATGGCTTACATAATTTATGCATAGTGTAATTCAGTATAAGATGAATACACTATAAAACACTATACTCAATGGCTTTCATTTTATATGTATAGTGTACTTTATTATAAGATGAATACACTATAAGACACTGTATACTCAATGGCTTACATGTTATATGTATAGTGTACTTCAATCACTATAAGACACTGTATACTCGATGGCTTTCATGTTATATGTATAGTGTACTTCATTAGAAGATCAATCACTATAAGACACTATATACTCGCTGGATTACATGTTATATGCATAGTGTAATTCAGTATAAGATGAATACACTATAAGACACTGTATACTCCATGGCTTCCATGTTATGTGTATAGTGTACTTCATTATAAGATGAATACACTATAAGACTATAAACTTGATGGCTTCCATGTTATATGCATAGTGTAATTTAGTATAAGATGAATACGCTATAAGACACTATACTCGATGGCTTTTATGTTATATGTATAGTGTACTTCATTATAAGATCAATCACTATAAGACACTATATACTCGATGGCTTACATGTTATATGCATAGTGTAATTCAATATAAGATGAATACACTATAAGACACTATACTCGATGGCTTTTATGTTATATGTATAGTGTACTTCATTATAAGATCAATCACTATAAGACACTATATACTCAATGGCTTACATGTTATTTGCATAGTGTAATTCAGTATAAGATGAATACACTATAAGACACTATATTTGATGGCTTTCATGTTATATGTATAGTGTACTTCATTATAAGATCAATCACTATAAGACACTATATACTCAATGGCTTACATGTTATTTGCATAGTGTAATTCATTATAAGATGAATACACTATAAGACACTGTATACTCAATGGCGTCCATTTTATATGTATAGTGTAATTCAATATAAGATGAATACACTATAAGACACTGTATACCTGATGGCTTTTATGTTATATGTATAGTGTACTTCATTATAAGATCAATCACTATAAGACACTATATACTCAATGGCTTACATGTTATTTGCATAGTGTAATTCAGTATAAGATGAATACACTATAAGACACTATACTCGATGGCTTTCATGTTATATGTATAGTGTACTTCATTATAAGATCAATCACTATAAGACACTATATACTCAATGGCTTACATGTTATTTGCATAGTGTAATTCATTATAAGATGAATACACTATAAGACACTGTATACTCAATGGCGTCCATGTTATATGTACAGTGTACTTCATTATAAGATGAATACACTATAAGACACTGTATACTCGATGGCTTATCCATGTTATATGTATAGTGTACTTCATTATATGGTGAAGTCCTACAAGTCTCTATAACTCTGCCTTCCATTGATGGCATTACAATCAAATTGTACCATACTTTGATTAGCTTTTAGATCACAAGTGCATATACATTGATTGCACCTGTTGACCCCATATAATAAAGGCATAAGCATCTGACACATGTGCACCTTGTTGACTGGGTCTCTTGGCAGAGTGGTCTAAAGTGCTCAACTTTACAGATCACTGCCATCATACACAGGTCCATTTGTGGTTCAAGTTTCAGGTTAAGTCCTGTAGATATCTGCTAGCCACTAGCTTTGCAAGGGTTGATGGTTTTTCCCCAGGTTTTTCCATTATACTGGCCACCAACTTAGAAAAATGGTGTCAATAACCCAAATCAACAACATGACCTTGTTTACCTAGTATAATGCCAGAATAATCTTCTGACTCATTGTGGTCTTATGAAAAAGAAAGAAGTGTCCTTCTCATTGTTTTATAATGACCCAGTATGATATAGAAAGAGCATCTCACTTGCTGCACTCTGTTGACCCAATATGAAGGAAACTTGCATCATGGCTTCTTTTCATGTTGACTTATCCAGTGGCATAAATGGTTAGAGCATCTGCCTAAGACACAGTAGGTCATGGGTTCAAACCCCATCTGAGTCACACCAAAAACTTGTAAAATTGATACTAGTAGCTGTCTCACTTGGTGCTCAGCATTAAGAGGTTGCTGGACTGATCAGCATGGTGAGGGGATAATGTGAGTGGGTAGGACATGATACCACATATCTATGGCATGATGCCGGAATGCTATACATCACTATTAATTGTTACACTGCCAATGTTATTAAAATCAGATCTGTGATGTCCTACATAAAGATATTGTTTAAGGGTCATGTTGTGATCTTTGAATTAGCCAGTGGAAATGCAGAATTCAAAAATCTGAAAGATAAATCATTCTCTGCACATGCTCTTCATTCACATTGATCAGTCTCCAAATGTTAAGATATAAGACTTCATCTGATTGGTTGATAAAATTAACAATTATGGTAATTATGGTAATAACATAGGTTACCAGAACATGACCCCAAAGCAGTTGCCAAAAGATCTTCTTGTATAACAGTGGAGATTTGATCTTAGATTGCCACACTGCATTCATTGTAGTGATATGACTTGGATTGTTAAAGCTACATAAAAAAGTATTTTTTTTTAAAAAAAATAAAAAAATAAAACACTTTCTTGTTAGTATCAATATTTCATTCAATCTGCAGAAAGAGTAGTTGGAGATGTCTTTTAATAGATACTATATTATACTTGGTTATAGGTCAAAACCAAATGGAAACATAGACACTGATTTGCCATAACATAATGCACCCACAGATTAGGGTCTGCATTGTTTGTTCTACTGATTTCTTCTAACAAACTGCAGAGATCCAGATCTGCCAGCACATTATGTGACTGCAGATCTGGATCTGTGTTGTTTGTATAAGTGAGTATAGTAATTCATTTTCCATGATTTTTCAGTTTATCAGTCATCTGTGTGCATTTGTAAAGCCCAACAATTTATACTATATTTTATGGCAGGCATTGTCTTCGTTTTTTTATATTTTACAGTCACGTATAACATTTGATACAAGTATCTTTTAACATCATTTGCTCTGATGTAAAAAAAAAATACATGCTATGCACTTGCTGTTTTACCAGGACCCTATCAATTTACAATTCAAGGTCAGTCTCAAGATAAAAGCTAGGACAGGAACTAACTTGTAATGCTGTTGAGTGCTGGAACACAACTGAACTACAAGTAAAAATGGATTCTATTTTTATATAGGATTAGGTGTAAACTAAAGCTGGTATAAAAAAAGAAAAGATGCTTTATAATAAATATATTGCTGGGGCATAAGGAGAATTGGCCTGAGTGGTAGAAGGCATGTGGAAAGCTGATGATAAAATTTTCTCTCACTAATGGTCATTAAACTACATCATTAAAGATAATTATGTACTCAAATCTGTTGCATTATTTTCTTGCTGCCAATCAAAGGTGAAGGGAATATAGTGATAATGATGTCAAACAGTGACATTAATATTAGCATGCATGTGCCTTTTTAACTGCTATTCCAAGATTCATGTCAATGTAGTGCTAGGACAAATTTTTGAAAATTCTTTTGTCAAACTTCGTAGATAATAATAATAATAATAATAATAATAATAATAATAATAATAATAATAATAATAATAAAGACTATATTTAGGGAAGGTAACGAAATTAGTTACAGAATTTATCTACTTCACGGCCTTCTATCATTTATGTAAAATAATATACAGTACATACAACATGATGTGAAGAATCTGGCTTGACACTAAATAATTGATTTTAAAAATCAATAAATCTGGAACATATGCACAGGCATCTGTGAACACATAAGTATATATAAAATATAAATTATCCAACATTTAAAAATTCAACTGTGAAAATCATGCAAAATTACAGAAATGCAGGCAGTATTTAACTTACTAGAACTGTTCAAGTTTCTAAAGATTTCATCCATTTGAGACATTGATTATGAAAAGAAGAAATGCTGGGAGCCTGACTTATGTCACTGGGAATGTTGTTTGATACCAGTGGACCAGTATATTGAATACATTTTGTAAAAAAATTCCTTCTTTGGCCTTGGTATAATGTAATTTTTACTTCTAATGGAACTTAAATTTGGAGTACCATCAGCATCTGTTTGGTGAAATATATTGCTTTTCATCATGTTTTCATTTGATAATGGGGGGAAATCATGGCACTCAGATAGCTAGCGTGACCACCACTATGACCATGTTAACAGATCTTGTTATTGCTACACTTCCTAAATGGAAAGACATTAATATGAGGCTGTCACAAAATGATTTTTGTATGAGATCTTATCAACATGAATGAAAGTGCTGATGATCTGACATCCACTTTGGCCACTATGGCAACCATCTTGAAAATCTTGTTGCTTCTTTTCAACAGAAAGTCATTGACTGGGTTTTCACTTTTTGTGAAGTCTAGTTGGTCTTGAAATGAACATGGTACTGATCTTATTTCCATTATGGTGACCACAGTTGCCAACTTGAAAACCTTGTTATTGCTTGAGAAAACTTCTCATATGTCAATGATCTTAAATGAAAATAGTGCCATTCAGTATGGACACTGTAGCAGCCATCTTGAAAATCTTGTTATTGCTTGAGAAAACTTCTCATATGTCAATGATCTTAAATGAAAATAGTGCCATTCAGTATGGTCACTGTAGCAGCCATCTTGAAAATCTTGTTATTGCTGCTGCTCCTAAATGGAAAGTTTTACTGACATATGGTGTTCACCAGAAGAATTGGTATCTACTTTGTTCAAAAATGAAAATGGTGTCACTCTGATTACCATGGTTACCATGGTGCCATCTTGAAAATGTCATTATCACTGCTACTTCTAAATGGAAGGTTATATTTGTATGGTTAATTTTTTTCGAAAGACTTGAATGATATCCAGTTGGTCCGAAATCAAAATGGTGCCATCTTTCATCCAGTATTGTTGGCATGGTAGCAAATTTTTTAATCTTGTTTTTGCTTTTAAAAAAAAGCTCAGATTGTTTCAACACATCACAAGTAAAATGAAGAAATGGTATTATCTTGAATTCCTGGAAATTCATTTCATTTACTAGATCTAACTGAAGTGGTAATTTCTTCCCTAAATTTTCAGTTCCAGAAAAGATCCTCTTAAATTTATTCCATTTCTTTCTAGGTATTTGACTCTTGCTAACCATGCAGTTACAAAAAGGGCTTGAAACTTGTGAATAACGTACACATAAATCATGGCCTAACGTACATTGAAATGGGAAATGCTCTATGTTGGTCCTTAAAAGCACCAACAGGACAGAACAATGTTACAACATCCCTCAGTGACAGGTTCCCTCATTTGCAGGTATCTTTTAGGGCTTTTCATGAACATCATTGTGAAGGCATGAACTTTACCCTTGGGGATTTTAAAGTAAGCTATTTTCTGTCAAATATTGCAGGTGATTTGAAACATTGTATGTTAGGGCAAACTGCAATGACACTAAGCATAATTGAACAAATATTGTGACATCAAGGTCATGCATCCAAGGACATGAAGATAAAATATACTCTTATGCAAAATGATATATTTTACCTAATGATTTATTGTTCTTTGTTCCTTTTCTAATGCAGTCAAAACTTATAACCCAACAAAATAACTTTTCTCTTATATAATTATTGCATTTTTAGATGGTCTCATAAATGTTACATATTTTATATACATTGCCTTATTTTTCAGTTGTTCATATATTTAAGACTAAAAATTTTTGGCCTAAAATGTTAGAAAAGAATAGATTTGAATTATCTTTCTTATTAATAAAATAAAATGGAGAGTGGAATTACTTGCTAATTCCAAAGTAGAAGGATTATGCAAGTGATGTTTAAAGTACCTTTCTGGTGATGAAACTGAATAATTTAATCAGACTGGTACACAAATACACAAATAAAAAAAACTGTTAAGCTTCCTTGCTTTGAAAGGTTGGTTGAGTTCATTTTCAGATTCAGGTGGCTAAAGTGTTTTGTTTACTTCAAGAAATGAAGTAAGAAACCAGTTCTTGTTACTTGATGGGTTTCAGAGGTCAGTCCATGTAACATTAATGAAATGGTCAACATTGTTGCTTGATGGATGGAAATCCACTCAGTCATAGTCTCCAATGTTATTTACTGTTTCCAATGAAAATAATGGCCACAGTTGGTTTTAACAGATGACAGTTAAGCCTAGAAATAAACCTTGTATGGTAATTAGTGTTTGGATGTTGATGGTTTAGGTGATTTAGTGTTGTTGTATGGATTAGATTTCAGCCTTGGGGAAAAAGATAAATTACAGTCATCTAAGAGGCATTAGGTTCTCAGAAAATCTTGGAAAACCAGAAAATGTACATTGACTTTCTGCATCAATGGATAATTCTGGAAATGATAAAAAATGTCCACCAATGTAATAGACCAGAAATGGAATTACTTAAATTTTTGATCATGTCCTGGAGAGTTTCATATATCTTTAAACCAGAATGCTTTCCAAATGGTAAAAATCTGGTTATCAAAACTTCATTATAAACACATTACGGAATAACATAACATATTTATCCTAATGTGGTACTAATTTCTTCTTTGATTGCCATGTGATCATTAAATGATCTTATTTTGTTGGTGGGCTGCCTAGCACCATACCAAACTAAACCAAACAAATTTCTTTAACCCAAGATGTTTTCCCTGTGAAGTGGTTTTGTTTCTGAAACCAGTATTTAGATTGTTAAGAAAGATTGATCAATTTAGTTAGGAATAATTGCAATAGCCAGGTTTCCTTTATATATCCAATGGAACAGCCACTGAGCTTAAAAGTGTGGAAGGTGGAAGCACCTGGCTGGAGTAATCTACATCTATTATAGATGGTAAGACATATTTTAAGGAGAGTTTTGACCACAATGAAGATTGTATTTAATTAAGGCACAGGTGTGGGTGTAGGTTACTACATACTTATCATTATGACAGATTATTATTTTTATAATCGATTTTCACAACATTAGACTAATTCCCAGTATAAAAATTTGTATTTATTTCTTGTGTTTTATATATATATATATATATAT